TTTATGGAAGTAGTTATGTAATTCATTAGATATTTTGTTTTGTACTTTAATAATTTGAGATAAGCCATAGAAGATATTAAATTTCAAAATGTAACAGTTAGCATTAGAGTTTATTATATGAATGATTTACAATCTCTTATGCAAAACTGTGAAAATTTTCTCAAATGAAATCACAAACACAACTCTTCAAAGTGAATAACACCAAAAGAAATAGATAATACACTTTGTTATTATCCCTTAAAGGATCTTGCAACTAAATCAAGAGGGACTACTGCAAAAGTTTCCGATTGTCAGAAGGACACAACGGGTTGGAGTGTGACGAGCATAATGGCATGGAGGATTGTGCACGGCCATCCTTGAATGGATTAGATTGAAGATCCTAAAATTTCTATTCAATGGATTTTAGATGTATTTTTATCTCAAACAAGCAAGTTGGTTGTTGTTAAACTCTAGTTTTTCTAGATAAGAAACTAACCAAGAAAAGAGATGGGCATTTGAGGAAAGTCATGGCGAAAGTATCATCTCCCTTGAAGAGAGGAGACGTGATGAGAAAACTTTGTGCAAATAAGTTTCTCTTTAAGTAATTTTGTCTTTAAATTGGTGTAATTTTCTTGTGGCTTATAAATTTGGGTGGGTAGTGTATTAAATTTGTTAAGTTGGTTGAGAACTTTAACCTCTATTAATGGAATTTTCAACTATGTGAATAATATTTATTAAGATCAAACTTCACACTTTAGTGGGTAGTAGATTGGGTAAGTAAACTACCAAACAATAAAATTCTTAGCTTTACAACGTGTTTAGGATGATTGAGTGAATAAATAAATAATATAGTACATATTACAATTTTTCTAATTCGTATTGATAACTGGTAATCGTTGTTTTAGTAATGATGAAATGATAATAATTCAGTAGTAATAACAACAATAATAATAGTAGTAGTAGTGACAATAGAAAGAGTAGTAGTAGCAGCAACAACATTTGTAACACTCTGAACTTGAGATTTAGGCTCAGGATGACTAAATTTATATTAATAATAAATTTAAAAATTTTTAATTTTAATTTCTTTTGGAATTTTTGAAAGAATATGTAATTTGAATGTATTTAAAAATAATTTTTAAAAGTCAGGGTTAAACTGGAAATAAAAAATGATCTATTTAAAATAAAAATTTGAAAACTGAGACAAGTGTAAAAACGGAAAAAGCGACCACATGATATGGCCACCTCAGCAACACGGCCAGTCGTTTTATACCGCGTGGCAGACACGCGAATACGCATTCCACGCGGGAGGCCACACAGACAATTAGCGTACTAATCGATTAAACGGTTCGGATTCACTTCTGTGTACACGAACGGTTTAGATTCGTTTCCTCTTCAGGCACCATCAAATAGTCCACGTGTATTCAATTGAACGGTTCTAATTTGTTTTTCAAATAAGATAGATCTGATGGTGCATATTGGGTCATGCAACCTCGAACGGACAGCCCAAATTGAAAGCAGAGAGATATTTAAACACCTCCATGAAACCCCCAAAATCCTAGCCGCCAAGGAGAATTGGAGAAGAAGAAGAGGGGTGGCTGGAAAGTGAACCAGTCGTCGGAGAAAAAGACTGGTCGTCGCCGCCGCCACACCAAAACTAGTCACCGATGCTGAAAAATGAGTTTTTTCTTCCTGTTCGCTTTGTTTCTCTATTTTAAATCTCATCAAACCCTTATCGATGCAGAAAAACTAAAGAAGAACAAAAAACGGAGGGTGGAGCTCGACTGAGTCACTGCACCTGAAACTAAAAATCCCTCCGATGAGTCCAAATCCTCTTCCCATTCCCTTTCATTTTTCAACCATTGATGTTTTAACGTGTTCCCGGTGTAAGAAAACCAAAGAAAAATCGCGACCGCGATGGAGAAACAGCGAAACCGCCGCACCGAAAACTCCAAACCGCCAGCAAGTTTCAATTTTTTTTCTTTTTCACCAACAGAGGCCACTTAACCCCGAATTTTGCTGGTTTTCGCTGGTCAAAATTGGCCTGACTGAGAGGAGGAACCGCTGTAGCAGCGGAGCTGGTGCTGGAGCACGGTGACATCACTGTGTAAGAACTCTAAATCGGCTCCTGGGAGAATTTTAACCCTTTTTTTTGCGTATTCCCATGATGGTTGATGCATACTTTGGTTTTTGCAAAAAAACTCAAGAAATCCGAGAACTAGGAACTGCCCCAAAGTATAGTGGAAAAGGCAGGGTTCCAAACACTGACCCAGGATAAAAATCTCTCACTCTTTCTCCCATTACGGTTAAATTAGAGTTTAATAAATAGTAAATAGAAAATTATAAATGTTGGCGACTCTTTGATTAATTAAATACAGGTCATCAATGGAGCCAATAACCAGTTAGTATATAATTATCCCTAACTTATATGTGTTGCCTAATTATTGTTATAATATTTTACTTACTGATACTTCGTGTACTTTAATTTATTGATTTTAATTATTTTTCTTATTTATTAGTTACTCAACTGTTTTTATCTTTATCCGTTAATTTGGTTTAAAATGAATGTCTCAATTATATTTTCTCATATTATTGAGTATTAATTGATATCACCTATTAAATGATCGCCTTATTATTTTGTAATCATGAAATGAGAGTGTTATATGTATTTGGTGGCTAAATGGTGATGTGGGCATGTATGTGTAAAGTAATGTTATTCAACCAAGGGGTTTACCGAGTGTCATAGAAAATGATGTACAGACCCCGAAACATAAGGTAAATCCTACCGTAAACGTTACCCTCAGTCGAATGAGAATTAGAAGTCTCATACCGGAAGGAGTTGAGAATTATTTTGATTACGCTCATACCGAACGAGATATTGAGGTTGTTGTATATTTGGCGCCCATTACCGGACGAGGTATTGGAACGGTCGGCTGATTAATAGAATGAATACTTGTACTTTTTTTTAATATTTTTTTAAGAGATATTTTCGTAATTTTATTAAGTATTTCAATTAAACTGCGTAAGAAATATAAATTATAAATTTTGAATTATTTATGTAAACTTATAAATTTTAATATTATTTTTTTTTTATTACAAACATTTGGGCAGTTACACTATTAATAATAACGGTATCAAATGTTGGTGGTGGAAAAAAGAAATAGTAGTAGAGACAGAGAATTTTTATGACCGTGAAAATGGTTATGGAATTTGGTGATGACAACCGTAAAGAAAATAGTAATAATGAAATATGATTTTGAGGATGATAAAATATTGGCATTGGCAATGATTTACGACAGCAACCACTTTAAAAATGGCAGTGACAATGGAAAGGGCATGGAGGTGGCAAAATAAAATGCTAGTTGATTATGATATTATTATCATGACATATACGTAAATGAAAATATATGTATGTATGTATATATATATATATATATATATATATATATATATCAATTACCATTTTATTTTAAAGTATTATCTACCTATAATATAAGTATTGACTTACCTACCCTATACATTATTTTTCAGCTGTGGCTGTAATGAAGCAACTTGAACTCCCTTTTCTCTTCTTCTTCGTTTGTTGGAGCAGCATAAGTATTTACTAAATCTGAACTTTGATCTATTCCGATAAAATGTAAATTTGAATCTTTCATTAAATTGGGTTGTTTTGATTTTTTTTTTTTAATTTTTCAGTTTAATAAATTATATACTAATTATATTATCAATATATATATGTATTTATATAGTATATACTCATTATTATAAATATAAATATATCAACAATAGTGAAATATTTTAACATATATATATATATATATTTATACTTAGCAGTCAGGGTATAGGCAGGTTTTGGAAGGCCAACCCGAACTCGAACTCGACCCAATATAAACTCACAACCTTAATTAAAAAACACGGATAAATCGAGTTTGAATAGGTCAGATCATACGGATTCGGATTGTTAAATGTCATAATTCCCGATAAAGAAGAAAAAAAAAAAAAAAGAAAAAGTACAAATAAGTTAATAAGCTTTATAAATATTATTGAGGACTTATTACATGAATATAAAATTAACAATCACATCTACTGGATCCGCCAACTCATCTATTAAGAACTTATAAATATATAAGCTGCCCAAATCTTATCATAAGGATCATTATTTTTGAAAAAATAATATTTATTAATTTAATTTATCACTTTATATATATATTATAAAAAATAATAATTATCAACTTATAATACTTAATTTAATAGAATCTAGTCTTAATTTACTAATTTATTAGTTAAATTACGATAATTAAGTTGGGCTTAAAATCCAAACGAGTTTATTCTATTTCTAAATTAAAAAATATTCTGAGACACATAAATTCCCTTATTTGTAATAATCATAACGGATTAAAATTCGAGCTGAACTTTTTATTCTTAAGAAAAAAAAAAATCTTCAACTGAATTTTGTTTCTATAGATAATTTAATCTTTTTAGTACTATGTTACTACAGAATTGAATATTCGAAATAAACAGAAAATATAAAATATTAAATTCTAGCAAAAAAATATATATTATAAACAAAATTATAATAAATACTAAATTTCAACAATCAATTTAATAATTTATCCTCATATTTATATTAAAAAATCTTACTCCATCAGGCTCGGAAAGGTAAAAATAGTTGAATTCGGGTAAAAAATGTTATCCAATACATTACCCTCTCTTAAATTGTAATACCCAGGTCCGGAAA